GTGATTTATCAATTACCAGTATATATTTTATAGTAAATCAGTTTAAGTTTCATGTAATTCAACTGTATAAAAATACAAAACTGACATTAACATACCTGTTCATATGAAATCTCTGCCATGAATTTTTTATTAGTTTATGCAAAATTGAACTTTAAGGAAACTGTGTACATTACACATTAGAAAGCACGAAATTTCATAACTATTAAGGTTTAATAACAAAACTAAAGTTCAAATAAAATAAAAAAAACATTATTTTTCATAACTTTATTTTTTTGTAAAATTGTAGTATCTTTATACGTTACAAAGAGCTTTACAATAAATATGAGTAGGACAAATGAATGTAATGGAAATCAAAACTTTATTACTATGCAAAAGTAATTAATTTGATGATTAATAAATATGAAAAATTTAAGCTTAAATCTGAATATTGATACCTCACGTGCATTACATAAAAAAAAATATTAAAATGCATTGAGTAAATGGTTCATAGGTTAAATCAATTATTATTTGAATTGCATAGATATATTTACATAATATTTTACAGTTATTCCGAATAAAAAAAACTTCAAAAAGATATATTAAATTTTACAGGAAATATAAATATTTCTGAATCATGAAGTCATTAAATTGGATGTGTAAAACGATATTCTACTAGGTTTTTTATATGTATTATTATTTTACTATATAGTGTAGTTTAACAGTTAGACGCATTAATAATGTTCAGTTTTTGTAAAACGAGACCTACCCAAATCAATATTATGATGGGGAAGTAAAGTATTAAAAATATTGTTTTATTGAGTTTCACCATCGACTGCCATATAAATAACCCGTTAAACTATTGGACGCATATGATTTTTTATAATTCCTTGTGGTATCTGCATGAGACTGACCCTATACAAACTTAAATCACTGCCGATTTCTTATATATTTATGACGACTATTCGGTATATTGGTAATAATTTCTAGGAAGCAAAAACATCACAGGTCATCCCATTGTTCTTTCTATTGGGCGACTTGAACAGAAGTCAAAAGTAATTTATGTTTCTCTGTGATATGGTTGACCAGACAGTACATCGGTTACTTACTTATAATGTTTAAGATTAAATAAACCAATTTTCCTTATTTGTAGTCGCCTTAAAAACTTAAAATAAAAAGTTGCTTAAAAAACAATTTTATTAATGACTTAATAAATCTAAATTTGTATTGATCAAGAACTATACAAAAATAACTTATGAAATATAGTTTTATATTTTTAACCTTTATATATTATAATATCCGAATACGTTGGATCTAGCTTAAGCACATGGCTTTTTTAATAGAGAAAGAATACTGTTTAGTATAAATGATATACATGTTTACATTGAAGACGATATCGAAATTATTTATTAAGAAGAAATACATTTATGAACTTAATTACGTTAAGATAATATCTAAAGATAATATGCTAAACAAAACATAATTATTATTGTTATAGTGTTAAAAGCATAAATATTATGTATGAGTGCTTTAATGAGGTATTTATGTCATTGTAACACTTCACATAATATACTACTGCTTAATATCTATTGACCATTAACAAATTATAATTGGTATTAATTTTTGTCAAATGACAGTGCAATAAGTTAAAAGCAGACCGGTAAAAATGTACAGACACGCATAGTTACTCGCCTCAGTGTATTCAATGTAATTTTCATTGACATGACTTTGAAATTTTAACTTGTGAAAAGAAGTCATAGACATTTTTTGTTTCATATTAATAAAATAAATTTCTGAAAAATCAAAAGATATCATAGGAATACTATTTTTGGGGGCGTTACTTAATTATTCTCACATCCTAAAAATTATTTTATGTGTTATTATTTATGATTTTGTCGATTAATACTTGAACTGAGAATATTAATTTTTTTATCAACCCCTTGTTAAGCAAATAAGAGTGATCATATAAGAAAATTAAGATTAACAAGATTTCTTTTAATAATGTTGATTTCAATTTAATATATGTTTTAAATAAAACTTTTTAGAACGACAATCATAAAACAATTAATAACTCTAATAAATATTAGAATTAATGAATATATTTATTAAATGTTAGCAATTATTTTTTTAGGTCATCGCCGTACTAACTACGAAATAGTTATCTAAATATATTGTATTTAATTATTTTACATGTTTTTATCATTAAAAATTATAAATAATTATAGTTAAACATAAATTTATAATGTTTTTAGCAAACAGTGCAAAAGTAATTATTGTAGTGTACAATTATTTTTATAACGATAATTGTTTACTTCGAAACGCAAGTTCATCGTAATGAAGCCAACTTTGAAATGTTCATTATTGTTATTATTTTTATTTGTTTTTTGCGAAATACGCCGATGTCTGCAAAGTGATTGGTTATAAGATAATCGACACAATATTATTAACAGGACACTAGTGTCAGTTTTGTCGGCATACTTCTTCCATACGCCGAAGAAGAGATCTCTATCAATTTCCTTTTAATGAGGCACAACACAATATTGAACTGCCGAGTTGGGTTTGCTCGACGAATGACCTGTCCAAGAGAGTACAGTGCGCGATTTTGCGTTGTTCGCCGCACATCACGGCAAAGACCAGGTCTGAAAGTGGATGATGAGAAAAAACCAATTTAAAACACACACGTTTAGCTTGTTCAATAAACGTATTATGCGCTAACTCTTATGAGCGCGTATGTCGTGTAATATGTGTAGATTCATTCTAGTTTGTCCCCTGCAAAAACAGCTCCGACGCAGTGTCATAAATCAACTATTGAATAATTAGTTATTGTTGCTAATGGCGCGCATTTGGTGGTCTCTCTCTCATTCTTATTGATATGTTTTCTATATACGCCGAAGTGCGCGCATTAGAAATATTAGTACCTTTTTCCCCTTAATTTTATTTATTTTCTAGTTCGTCGAACCCGAATTACGTATCCCTGTATGTCACTGTTCGTCTTCGCGGTCAAGTGGAAAAAAACTTTAAGTATTGGAGAAAAAAAAATACATACATAAGATATACCAATCAAATAATATGTGAAGTAAGAAAAAAACATTCGAGATCGCTGCGCTAGACGACAAACAGATGGTGTATAATTTAACGCACTGTAAAAAAGAGGGAAATGCTGATAGTTTTATATACAGACAGATATAAATATAAATTAATGTATCCGTCCGTGGCATTGATTTATTTGGTAAAATTAGAGGATCACAATAAGGAGGTAAAAATTGTGGTCTTATAATTTGAAGCACTCTATGTTCTGATGCATTGATTTATTATGGAATACTTGTTTTTCAGGACGATTAAGTGTTCATAAAATGCTCATTGATCTCTGTAATAAACTGCATTGGTAAGATACTTAGAATGCTAAGTGTTGTTAATTTTCGTTTGTGAAGAACATGAAGACAAACGATACCTTACTTAGAAAATTGATCATTTTTTTACCGTTACAACTGAATTATTTAGTCAGTAAATTTATCATATCTCATTGTCTATGTAATCATTTATATTTGATAAATTTTAAAGAAAATAATATGTCTTAAATATGCTATGGATAAAAAAACTTTCGTTTTTATAAATTTTCTCCGATAATTTTTTTTTTTGGCAACGGACTTACCATTCGCTTCGAAGTATCAATGGTTAAGAAACCTCCTCCTTTGGTGGCCTTAAAAAAGCGATGAAAAAAAAAATGTATTACTCAATTAGTATTTAACACTTAATTGTGATATATACGATTGAATTAAAAAATACGTTTTGGTGATTATTAGAAGAGGACGACTATTTTTATCAACAGCATTTTGATCTAAATAGTCATATTTATTTAAAAACCATATGATTGGAGGGATTAAATTTGGTTACTATCAAAACTAATAATTGAAATAAAAACAATAAAGTGTAAGCATTCATAAAAAATCAATTTGAAGAAATTTTCACTTGCATACATAAATTGTGTACTCGCAAGTTTACTAAATACTTTTATTTGTCAACTGTATTGTAAGTGCCAAGGTGAACATCTTTTTAGAGATCTCAAGCAATCGTGCTGTAGGACGATGCGAGGTGCTAATAATATTTCATTTTGCAGTCGATTTTTTACCTTCGTATTTTCTTTTTTTAAGCGAATCCTAACCTACTCAAGTAAGATATTGTTAATCTGTAAATAATTCTTTTCTTTTACCTCCAGGCTTCCGAATACAAGAAAAACGACTATTAAATTAGTAGCAACTAGATAATTTGATTACATATAATTTTTTACCAAAAACACATTCCATGTCAGAGTTACGCTGTTATGGAAACTAAATCATATGGGTGTGTCTAGTGCTTTTAATACTAAAATATTATATTATACCTCATCTCATTTCTATATTGCGACTATATATATATATAGTCATGTGATTTCTCTCGCTTAAACAAGTACATGTATCAAAAAACCTTGACCTTGGTCCCTCGGTGATAAAAATCGATTGGGTCAAACCATAGGGTTAAGCGACTAACGAAGACTGTAAATATTAACCTGACTATTGAGATGCAATATTTTATTTAGGTGTAATCTAGATGGCGAACAGAAATTTTGAAATGGAAATTAATAATAAGTAATATAAAATTACAAATAAAATATATTTTTATTTGACCGACTATTATTACAGAAATACGCATTAAGTAGTTTCGTTTTTTTAAACATGGAGACTTTTTTTTATTCAATTTAAGAAGTAATAACAATTCGCCAACTGTATTTATAAAAAAATACTTTTCACACATTTACATGAGATGAATATACGATAAAATGTGTATTGTAGAAACACAATGACAATACAAAAGCTTAATGTCACAGTAATTAATCACTTGAAAAATTTTGACGTTTTATTTTAACGTCTTTTTATCGTTGTAAAAATCACTAAATAGAATACCAAAAGTAACTTCTTTAAATATAGTCGTGTTTTGCACGAGATTAAGGATTTATTTGTTTATATTGTTAAACTATTAAAAATAAATTCACAATTGATATATTTTATTTATTATTATTTGCGAACCGTATATCATACATTGTTTTAAATTTATATAACGAGTTCATGTCGTTGATCATCAACAATTTTGACAATAATAATAATAATAATAATTACAAAAAAAAAAAATCGTCAATTAATTAAAAATTACATTACATTTATTGATTAAACCTAACAACATACATTTTACTTTTATTCGTTGGGAGACTGAGAATGATAATAAATAAAAACAAATAATTTCATTAAAAAGCTTAAATAATAAAATAATAACAGGAACCAATACCAAAAATCAACTTAACAAGGTCATATTTTAAATGACATGGACCAAAGAAAATAATACAATAATAATAAATAATAATAAAATTAATAACACACTCAAGCAAATAATAAGGACTTAAAAAAACGGTAAATTCTCACAACTAATTAATATTAAAATAAGAATTATCATTCGTTGTTCTATACAACTAATATCTAAATTTTTAACAATTCAAATTTTGTTCAATTAATTTACATGTACATAATAAAAAAAAAAAAAAAAATGTTTATATAGGTTATGATAATCTATCGGACGTAATGCGACGCTTAATTAAATAATTTAGTATAAATTTTTTGTCTAGACAATATATATATTAATTATTTCTATAACGATAATTGGTTTATCTACGCGATAATGCCCATGAAATCTGCACCATATAATATCTTAACATTGTAATAGTTACATTTAAATGTCAGTTTAATATTTAATTGAACAATTAATCTTAATGTGATATATTGAAAACTGTTTGTACATGTGAAAATTACGAAACAGAGACGATACACAGCCTTTAGAAACAAAAACAGAATAAAATAAGCTTTGTTTGAACTTAAAAATAAAAAACTTAAGACATTTACTATTTTATCATAAGGTAACATAATAAATCACCGTGAAAATTAATACATTGCACTCAAATAACACACTTTATTCATATTATAATAAATTTTTCATACTCATTTTAAACGTGTATACGCTTTTATATAACAGACTAATGTATTTAAACATACACGTAAAATATTACAACTACTTTATCGTAGAACAATTAAATAATAATAAAAATTGACCGGCTTGTTTCTTACAGATTTTAGTTATAATTATAAATATATTGTAATTCTAAATATTTTCTGCAATTATAATGTAGAGGTACCTGTATTGTAATATTAAAGTTTCATGTTTACCCTGCATGATTGTATTTAGCTATATTTATATTTAATAGATAAATATTGTAATGATAATCGTTAAATTGCGATGGATGAGAAATTGCGATCATTCGTTAATTTTTTTAATAAATGTAAAAGCATTATGAAACAATAAAAGAATATAGTTTTATTCGTTTAATTTAAAAGAAACCTTAAAAATGTTAAAGTAAGGAAGATGAAACGTTACATAGAAGGAATCCCGACAGTTATTTTTGCGTGATGAAGATTTCAACACAATTATTATGTTTTATGGCTGAGGTTAAAAAATAATGGCGATTGTTGAGGAACTTTAAAATAAATATTTACTGTGTAGTTTTAATACACAAGGAACCAGTTACTGTAGTTAAACATCATGTCGCGAATTCCGAGGTAAGTGTTAAAAACGTCCATATACGAAATTCAGTAAAACATAACCACCGGTTGTGTTAGGAATCACAGTTTCACAGAAGTATACACACGACATAAACAAAAATTAAAATACAATAAAAATTAAACTACTGTAACTAAAGATTAGGAACTGTATGTAAACACCAACATGTATTCGGTTGTATATAAGGTAAATTGTATCTTTTTGATTATTTTCATTAAAATGCTGGAAACTATTGTAGTGTTTCGGAACAGTATCGGTAAAAATGATTTATTAATTAAAATGGTTACGTTTTGGTCTAAAATTATCATTTCGAAGATCAATAAGAATATCTCTAATAATATACTATATGTACACGACCAATATTAATTTTTTAGTTTTAATTTACATCTTTGTATTCGCTAGCCATAGTTATTTTTCAAAATTATTTCTTTACAAATTTTTTAACTTTAATATTACTAAAATTAATATTAAATTTATCATTTAAAAATCTATATAATTTTTTTCCTTTTTTTATTTCTTAACACTTAAAATTATATTACACGAGACCGTACGGAAGATTCGATACGTACATTTCGTAATCAAACGAAACAAAAATCATTTCATAACGTACAGAATAATTGCTGTCGTTAAAAAAATCAAGGTACAAAAAATAGGGCGGGTGGCATAAAACAATTAATGGGATGAAAGGCTGGGGAAGATAACACCGGATTTAAGTTTGGAGCACCGTGTCGAACGCCAGCGCAAAGTCCCTGAACACCCCGTGTCAGTCTTGCTCCTTGTCCTTGTTATCCGCATCCGGACTCAGTCTTTCATCGTCGTCTTCTCCGGCCTTAGAAAAGTCCATGGCCACCGCTTCCTCATCGTCGTCCTCTTCGTCATCTTCCTCTTCTTCCCCTTCATCACCCCCTCGGCCACCGCTGCCACTAGCGCCGTCAGCACCAACGCCTTCTTCGCCACTGATGCCGCCGGCGCCATCGTCGTCTTCCTCTTCATCTTCATCGCCCACTGTCGGTGGTTCTGAGTTACTTCGACTAGCTGCGGGAGATTTCATAGCGTAATCCAAAGCCGTGCCCGACTGTGGCTGTCCGATCATGTCCAACCCTCCATAGGGTTTGTCCACGGCTAACGACAAATGGTGTTGTTGTTGTTGGTGTTGCTGCTGCATGAGATGCATCATATCCATACTCATTGGAAAAGAAGATCCAAAGTCGGGGAAAAAGTTTGGAGCTGGGAAGGCAGGTGGGTTGAAACCAGGAGGACCGAGCATTAGGTCCGTCGGTTCTGGTAGAGGATTATGCGGCGTTACCGGCTGTCCATTGCCGTTATTACCATTACTGGCAGCACCATTGTTACTTCCACCGTTGTTGCCGTTGTTATTGTTGTTGCTGCTGCTATTATTATTATTTTTGTTACTACTGTTGTTGTTATTCGATATCGATCCAAAATGTAACAAATCTAGTGGACCATTGATGTCACCGAAACATTCTTTTTTAAGCTGTTCCAGCTTCAACGATTTTCCATACTTGCCTCTAACGTACATAAGTAAACTATTATAAGGTATACCGAATATTCTGGAAGCTTGCGATGTGGTCATTTTCTTGTTCCACACATGTTGTAAGGCTTCTGTTAGCTCAGCATTGGTCCACGATCTAGGAGGACCTCCACGAGGGGCACTATGTTGACCTTTAGGCCGACCGACTGGAAACATTTTTTCTGAAATAAAACATTTTTTGTTTACTGAATTATTGGTTTTAAATATGGAGTTTTTTCTTGAAATTACTTTTCTTTTTATTCGGTGGTGGATTATCAAACCTTGGCTCAATCAAATCGTTCAACAATGGATTTCTACAACCATCTAAACCGGGAAACAAACCTGCAATAAACCATAACATTGTTGGTGATTAAAGTCAATATAATATTTTATTAAAAACAAATAATTAAACATGCGAGTATAAAAAATAGAGTAATAATATTGAAGCGTTCATAATTAATTGAAGAAATAGTTTTAGGTAAAAACAATATAAAGTCGAAATAAAACTTGATTTATATTTTCATTCAATAAAAAAAGTAAATTTATAATTATTTTTCGAATTTTTAACATAAAGATACTGACACAAATGAAAGCATTTTAAAAACTATCGAAACTATATAATCATCCCTTATAAATAAAATGATACTACACATAATACATAGTAATGTATGTAAATTGCCACAATCTACGCCTAAAACTTTTTGACAAAATAAAAAACAGAAAAATGAATCTAAGAAACAATATTTTTATTTTAACAGATATTTATTCTTACCGAATTGGGCATCTATTGGAAACACTATAAAATAAATAAATATCTATTAGAATTTTTCAAATTTATTTATTTTTGAAAAAAAATGTCGAAATATACATTTTAAAATATTTTTGATGTTTTACTGTAATAATTATTTTTAAGTGTAAATATAAGTATTTAAAAGAGACACTATTCATAAAAATCTTAAGTAAAAAAATTAAATAGTTTAAACAAGAAAAGTCTCAACATGAATTTCTATTATTATTTTTGTCTAAAAAGGATTTTGAGGTACTGAGAACACGAAAATAAATAAAATTGCTGAATGACTATATTTTAAAATTCATCAAAATATTGAACATATTAAACGTTAAGATTTTATTTAATACATTCATAATATCCAATTTATTTTTTCTTTTTCAATATTTTTATTGTTTTAATCAATTATTTTATCATATATTAAAAGATTTTTGATTTTTTTTGTAACTTTTTTAATTCGTCGATCATTTTGTTTACGTTTATCGTACAAATTGTAGTAATCTTTTTAGAAAATAAATACTATGTGAATTACTATTCTATATTATTTTTACACTATTTGATATATAATTATAAACCATAAATAATCTTATAATATTTAAAAACTTACTGTGTGGTGGGCCTTGTAGCGAAAGCGACGATAAAGGTCCAAAGGGTGGAAATAATGAATTTTCAAAATGTGGATCCTAAAAAAAATATTTATGACATCAATACATTACTTTTTTTATGAGGTATTTTTTTTAATAAAAGTGTTTCAAGGAATATTATTATTATATTGCTATCTAGTGTATACGATGAAAAAAAAATTGTAATGTTTATATTTTTATATTATTGTTTCTAATGTGAATACTAATAGCATATTGTTGTCACCCCGTCAGATTAATTTTTCCAGAAAAACTAAAAAGTCTTGTGTGTGTTGATACTGTTGCATAAAAATAATAATAACACTACTTAGATTGAGACATTAACAGTACTTTTAAAAATCTAAATTCTCATAACGAATAAGTAAACTAACCAGTAACAATGACTCCCAGTGGAGTAAAATGATTATAACGGAAGCCAACCGAAAACATATACTCACGTGTGGATTAAGTGGTATACTCATGGGATCAGGACCGTAAAATGGAAAGTCCGGGTGCCTCTGTTGTTGTTGATGGTTCAGATGATGGTGATGGTGGTTTTTTTTATGATTAGGCTGGTTATTATTATTATTGTTGTTATTGTTATTTACGTTAGGGCTTCTTGCCGTCATCTCTACTGGCTGATTCTGTCCCAAGTCTGCTATCATTTCTGGTTCATCTACTTCAACTTTCATTTGTTTCTATGGGGAATAAAAAAATGATTACATAAAGTTATTTAACGACTTTTTTTAAACTGTCTTTTTGTTTATTTTTACAGTTTTTATTACTTAAAAACTGTACTGATGTATAATTAAATTATTACTTCGATATTTTTTTTTAAATTACAAATGAATAGAAAAAAATTCTTAGATTTGTATATGGTATCTAATGTATTATGAGTTAAAAAGAATTAATAGGGTGTATTATTTGATTATTATTATTTTTTACTATAATTTAGTCAAATTTTAAATAGACTTTAAGTCTTTGGTATTAGAAAAATTATAATACTAACATTGTTTGCTGGAGATGGTGTCCTTTCAGGCCTTTTATTGTTACAACTTAAATTTGTTGGTGTATTCTCATTGTTACTGTCTTCATTATTGGGTGACTTTTTCATCGATAGATTTTCAGCAATATTGTCATTAAAATTCAAAGGTGATGGAGCTTTACTTAGATCTTGAGGGCCAATAGCTTCACCCGATCGTCGTCTGGGTCTCGCCTAAAATTAAATGTCGTTTAAAATAACTTAAAATCAGGCGTTTTTGTGTAGGCAAAATAGGTACACTTTTGTATAGAGTACACTTGGATTAAACAATGTTATTAGTCTGATATAAAAATGTAATGACGAAGAAATAACAAAATATGTAAGGAAATCTAATTTTTTTTTGGAAGAATTTATTTATATTGAATATTTACAACAATTTTTTTTTAATATTCTTGAATAAACATGGGAAGAAAAAGTAAGGTAATAATTAAGTAGACTTTTTGGTAAAAAATATAATTTAATACACTAGAACTTTAACTTACTTGCTTTCTACGAGGTGTAGGTGATGGACAGTTTCTATCGTTAAATGTAATGGGCGGAAGATGTGGTAGTTGTGGTAGTCGCATATGTGATTGCTCGTAGGGGTTAGACGCAGCTGCTGCTGCGGCCGCTGCTGCAGCAGCTTGGAAGAACATACGAGTTGCCGGTGACATACGACCCGAAGAGCCGTCACCACGATGATGGGGTAGCATATGTGACGGAGACGGTTGCTGTTTGTTGCGCGGACTCTGTGGTGAACCAGTTCGGTTTCGGTGGTGATGATGGTGATGGTGACTACTTTTACCCGGCGAACTTTGGCCGTTCACTAGTTCGGTATTCGATTTGGGACTGTGAACTCTTGAATGGTGATGGTGACCATGATGATTATGCCCTTGATGATGTGTTGGTGGCGGTGGTGGCGGCGGCAGCGGTGATGGTTGAACTTCTGTAGGTGTCACCAGTGACGACGTAGGTGAGTCGACAAACAACGGAATGCGTTCTGTATGAGCCAGTCCACGAATCTGTAACGTGCACAATAATAACTTCTATAATAGTCATTAAAAAAATACACCATGAGAATAAGTGTAGTTGTTTTCTGGATTTATTTTATCAAACTGTTAGGTAGTGCTTGTTTTTCGGATAAGGATAGTAAGGAGTTTTTATTAAAGTCCACTAGACCTTAAGTATCAAACAACCCTTGAATAGATATAAAATGTATATGTACTTGTAATGTTTCGGCAGCTTGTAACAATAGCGGCAACTGTTCCTGGCCGACGTTAATCTCTCCCTTGTACATAAAGTGTATGATCGCTCTCATCTCCCAGTCGGGTAAATCTTTAAGGACTATAACGGGATGTTTACACGGTGTCTCAGAGAAAAGCCTTTGAAAATACGGACTAAAGAGAAAAAAAATCATTCAATATCTAAATATTGATAAATATCAAACTAATTTGATGCTCATTAACATCTTTGTGATTTTAAGTGTTGTTACTAACCTGCACGCAGACAGCACCACTTTATGGGCCTTAAATTGTGTTTTTTCACAAACCAGTGTTACATCTACGAGAGTCTCGTTCTGCAAAAGTACTTCGATAGCGTCCATCATGTGAACCAGATGGTTGTTCCATCGAAGACTGTATTGGGGAGTATCCATTTCACTTATTATCTGCACCAAAAGAAGATAAAAGAATAATATCAGAAACGTTCATTCAATAATTTAAACAATTATTTTATGCTTCCGTTATAGATAGAGTGAAATACACACGATTTAAATGCACATGACATGAAGTAAGTAAAATAATATTAGACGATTGTAATGAAGCCTACAGACTGAGATTTTTTAATGATACTAATTTTGAGAGTTACAATATTAGTACTATAACATTACATTAGTAATTAGTAAAAAGAGTAGGTATTATTTTCATGAAAAAATTGATATGCCTTACGATCAAGTTATTTAACATGAACAGCTTCTATTATTCACATACACGTAATGTTTCTTTTATCGTAAAATAACAAAATATACGAATAACATATAAAATATATTAGCATACATTTTCCCTACATTAATAAAAGATACACGTGATTGACAATGCAACCATATTATTCTTGCAGTAGTTTTCACATTAATTCATAAAATGAATCATTAATAAGTATTTCATGGTTTTATTACTGTACTGAGCACATAAGAGTAATAAAAGAATAATAATTTCCACGTTGATATAATTGAAATCATATGTAATGATGAATATAATACTATAAAAACAGTAAGTAACTAACATTTACACTGAAACATAGTAGTTAACACTTAATATAAATAATAACAAAAATTTCTACTGAAGCGCGTGCCAATACCATTTCATCAGTATTATAACACATTTATGAGCTTAAAAAGAAGTAACACGTGTTGTAATAGGAAACATAAGATGAAACAAAACCCTGAGAGGTTTATCTTTTTGTAAAGATTATGCTTCATTTGTATATTTATTAATAATATTACACGCAAACCAAAATTTTAATTTTCAATGTAGTTGTTGGCTATAATTGTTTTTATTATTTATTATTTTTTACCGATAGGTATTACAACTCGACAAAAATATAAAATTTCATTTGTCAGTAATACTCTGGACCTAACTATATTTATATTTTATTTAATTGTGTGCAATTTTTCTAAATTTAGATAGTGCCTAATACGTGATTGGATAAATGAGTATGGTAACAACATCTAAATATAAGTTAAATGACCTTCTCAAAAATCAAGGACACTAATTATAATTCCATGAATATCAATAGAAAAAATCTCAAATACTTGAGATTGAGATTAATGTGTTAATTTCAGTATTTTTTTCAATATATACATCAAAATTAATAAGCGATAAAAAAATATTTTGTATTTTCCAAATTCTCAGTAATGCTGCTAATTTTTATAAAAGTTTATATATTATATGCAAAGAAATTAATCATCAAACATTTTTTAGTTTGATTCAAATAAAAATACATCAACAATTGATTAAATAATCAATATCTTGTAATAACTATTGCAAGGAACTATGTTTGATTCAATTTTTAAAAAAATTAATAGCGAGTTTTATAGGTTTTTCTTAAATTATATGTAAGAAAATATCAAATGCGATTAATGATTTTTTTTTTAATGTACTTAAAATGCATAAAATTTTAAAATGTCACAAATTTAAAGTTAAAACACTTAATTCATAAATTAACAAATATGTACTTTTGTTCGATGATATTATTAAAAATAATACTAGTATAGTAAAAAAAAAATATTTGCAAATTCATTATCAATCAAAAGTATTTCTGTGGCCGTGAAAATTATTTCCAAGGATTCTATTGTATTTTGATTTGGACATTAACAGACATTAATGTCATGTATGAGTTTTTTAATGAAAAACTAACGCCTAAGTCACTATCAAATATCATTTATTATTTTCTATCTATTGATAATGTAATTTATTTACTATGATTTTTATAATTAATAACAAGTTAAAAGATTTCTTTACAACGCATTCATAGAAATAATTTTTCATTAATTAAAATCTAGATTTTATTATACAAAAGTATGTTAAGTTAAATTCCAAAGATCAATAAAATGTTTTCTTACTCTACTAGAAATGGTGTGACCAATTTTCTTTTTAACTATTTATAAATAAGCAATTATGTAAAACATTTTATACATACATTTTTTTCCAACGTCTATAGTATAAAAATTATAATTATTGAAACCAATATAATATTACTATGTTCAAAGTAAAATAGACATACTACGCCGATGACATTGCTCACTCGTATTACAACATTAAAAGACAAGATTTAAAAAAAAAACAGTAATTATTTTACATTAATAGAAGTAGTTATTTTATGTTTTATTACAAAACTTATCTGAAATCTGCTTTGGGTGATAAATAGACAAATCTACACCCATATTTGTGCTATGTGTTTTTATCTCTTTCTGATGATTATTAGCTATTAGAAAATAGTTTTTAGTCGTAAGTGTTACATAAGGACAAGGAAATAGAGTGTTCGAAAATATTTACAAAATGATATTATTATTTCGTATATTATCGTCAAAAATATTATTAAGGCAGTGGCAAAATAAATTTAGAAATCTCAAATATTTCATTCTAGTTCTGTTTATGTTATGAACAAAATGTGCAATTAATATCTTAATAATAAGCAAATATTTCACATAGATATGAGTCTGTTTACGAAATATGAAAAAGTAAAATATTTGAAAATTAATACATGATAACTTTTATTAAATTAGCCCTATATAAAATTCTAACCAATCAATAGGAAGTTTTCAGGAGAAAACCCGCAATTTTATACTAAAAATAACTATTTTCGATAATATTAGTAAGGAATACTTAATTTATAAAATTCTAGATTACCTAATAACAGCATATTTCATTAATAAAGTTTAAAAAAATATTATTTATTTATTTGAAATACTTAACGCTTAAACGCTTTTTAAATATCAAAACAAAATTTAATGGTACTAACATAAGATATAAAAGTGCATTTTTACAAAAATAAAAATTTCACACATTTTGGTTATTTATAAACAAATTTTTACTTAATAAAATCAAATAAACTACACTAGTCAAAGCAAAAATCGAATATCGGAAACTGTAATGAAAACGAAATTTTAACTTTCATATGATAAAACATAATTTCTTATCAAAACATATATTTACTATTCAGTTTTAATTTTTTTTTAGCTAATGTAATTGCTACTGAACTGAATGTTAATTATAAAAATACCTGCTTAGTTTATGATAGAGGTTAAATGAAACATTTAGGTTAATGTTTAAAACGATTTTTAATTTTTTAATGCAAACTTTAAAACTAAGTTGTTATAGTTGTCTGAAATGTAAGTTAAATAGACTTAGAGAGAATCCAAAATAAAGTTTTATGAATGAATTAGACATTGTCAGTTTACTGCAGGGTATTCTCAACATTTTTTAAATGAGCTATATAATAAATGAAAACTAAAGTTATAGCACTTTTTATACTTAGTAAAAGCTATTCATTTCAAAAACAAAAGTTTTACCGTAGTATCTCTAATGTTTCAGTCAACTAATAAAATCATATTATTATTGAAAATGTTATAATTAGAATTTGTTTTTATATAATACTTTTTATTTTGATAGTGCAATTGTGATAAATCATTGTATGTATAGGTATTTGTTATTAGTTGCCGCCTAAAACTAATAAAATATGTGGCCTGAGAATCAAAACTTTTAGTGATTTAAAAGATAAATAAATGATTTTTGTATAATACCTTCAACTATTTTTCTTCTTAATGATTTAGAAAAAAATAATTTATTTGAATAATTTATCAACAAGTTACAGATAGTTTAAAATTTTTTCTAATAAATGGATAATGAAATTTTAAACGGGCTCTCTCTGTAAATACATAAAATATTAAGATAAACTCGTCAGGTTCTCAGGCTATGGTATTTATAATGAAAATATGAAATGAAATGAAATTTAAACGGAAGACAATCAACTATAATTTTAGACAAGACAAGCGGAGAGCGAAAAATAGACACATAAATGATTAAATACCAAAATGAATATTTTTATGATTATTAAAAAACGCGTTCAATAGTAATCAGAGTTTACCTTTTGATTCAGCCATTTTTGGGGGTCATGGCGAGTGTGCTGTTGATCAGCCAACACGTGAAAAGTCGTCCAATATTCGACAACTTGAAGGAGTTTACTATTTTAGAAAACTTAAACCAGAAGGGTTGTGGCAATAAAGACGTCGGCCTGCGGCAATCGAAAGACCTGTTGCGACTTTGAACGATCAAACATAACGACATTAGGGTACAATACAATAACGACATAAATGCCGAACTTGGATAGACGACGTGACATATTTGTACTATTAAATTAAATAGCCAAAATTCTAATTTCCATAACAAATTGAAACACACGTAAAATTATTGCACTGGGAACGTATACGTTTATAAAAAATGTATCCTGCAATTGCCGGAAACAACGACCTACTGGATCATTTTTGGGTGCGGTGCTTTGTACGAATTTCGTTGACTAGCCGAATTTGAGTGTGTGTGTCTATAAAGATTTGAGTGCGTATGCGTCGTATATTATTTTACATATCTGGAAACGCTAATGAAAGCTATTAAAATACCAACAGCTCTTTTTCTTATTCTCCGGGTGGCGTTTTTTTGTTTTTCTTTTTCCTTTCGTCTNACCTCCCCCCCCCCCCCCCCCCGCCTATCACTCAACGCCCAGTTTTATTTCCAGTAACACCCATTCGACTTTGGCGCGCACGCCTGGCCACATCCCCTCAGTTCTTCTTCTTTTCATTTTTATTCTATTTTTATACACACATATACTTTTTGTTACCCTTCATTATTTTGCCATCGTTATTTTTTTTTTTTTACTCCTGTAGTTTTTCTTTTGCAGACTCGCGCGCGCGCGACACCTGGCCGGTTGACCGTCTTCTCTTCGAAACGCCATCATCGGCCAGTCGTCGCTATTTGATTAGATCATATAAAAAATAATGATAATTAGTTTGATATGCGAATGTGACAAACTGAACAATTGCGACGCCAGTCGCGGATTATCGCTATTAACTAAAACAATGTCATGTATTACACTGTGGTGATAACACCACTCGTAAAAGTATTTATGATATGAATATGGTTTGTGCGCGAAATGAGCGTGTTAATTATTAATTAATTAGGATTCGGTTACTCGTCGACATCCGGACGATAACGGTCGACATACGATCGCGGTTCATGTCTTGTGTAATAGATTAGTTAAAAATATGTGTAAGTCGCCCGAAAAAATATGATTCGCGTTATTTTAAATCTTAATCAACTACTTGTTGGCTTTTATTGTAAATTATGAAATATATTGTAATGAAATATTTAATTTTTAAGTGCACCAAATTGTCGCATACGTACCAACGCAACGACTGATTTATTAGTCCGTCGGTACTAATCGAGAGTACAGTAAAAAATTATGATATCAAATTGAATATTTTAAAAGTTTAACTGTAAATTTGAAAATTTATGGCTGTGAAAATTCAATTAGATTCTTTCGAACCATTAATAAACATTTTAACATTATTTTTTTGTTTATTGAACTATTTAAACAACATATAATGTTTTAATTTCGTGTAAACAACAATCATTATCATCAAAAAATACAATTTAGTATTTTTGTAAACAACACTATTAAAAACTGTTGAAACTGGTTTTTGAAACTACAGCATATATACAATTCAACCTGAGATTTAGGAATTTGTTGATATTGATATTGTTGATACTCACTACGACTGAGTATTGGTTTTTAATTGTTGACAGTTAATAGGAAAGCTATTTACTCATCTTCCGTGTAGCTTTTAAGTGTATCACATGAGTGTAGTACGTCAGATCATAATGAAAAATATAACAATATTAAATAATGTTATTCCGTATAAATTTTACACGAGATAATTTTCCGAACTGGAAGACTAATTTTTTATAAATTTTACCAAATAAGTTACGTTATATTACAAATGACGTCTAAACAATAAAAATTAGCTCAAAACGCAGAAAATAAAGACAAAACAAACGTGACAATAGTTCTCGAAACGTTCAAATTTTGTTGTAATGTAATCGTCGAGTAAACTGTACACAGAATTTATTATGAAAATTAGGATGAATTTTGTTACAGAGTACCGTGAAGTATAAAAAAATACATGTATGTACGTATAAAAAGACCATAATAATATTTTTCGTTGTCATATACAATAGAATAGCAGTTCACGTAAACGATTGCCGTATACAAGTCGTAAGGGAAGTATTTTTTGGCGGGAAACCCCACACGGTAATCCAAACACGTCTCACATACAACCCTCACACATGTTCGAATCGACTTTAATGCGTGTTAACTTTTAAAACGTATTTTTTATTTAAAATTCTTAACATGTTGTACATCCGTTTTACAATGAATCTGTAATTTCCAATGATAACGTAATGTTTAATTCGGCGGCGTCGTTATTATTATTATTAAACCCTTTTGAAGACGGATAGTTTTCTAAAGAGACTAAAAGGCTAAAGAGTTTCAATTTTACTATTTTTAACAAATACGTTAATATTTAATATAATTTTTTTTTTTTTTAATAATTTAATTCTGAAGTGAACTTAGTTATTTGCTTTTCTGTAATCAAAATTCAACTAAATATTTTACTGGACACTTATTTGTTAAGTTGATTTCAAGTTACCTAACTATAAACAACGTTGATCATTAAAAATTTCTAGAATAAAATACGATATTCAGAACTTTGTTTGGCACAATTATCATTAATAAATAAATGGAATTAAGAAAACATCATAATTAAATAATTATTATAATTAAAATATTATTTTATGTAAATTAAACAAAAATCAATCGGATTTCGCTCATGATAACCGTAAAAAAGTTCCAGTAATAATAAATATATGTGAATATATAATTGTCAAATAGGAAAATCTTTTCGACTTCCATTAAGAAAAAAAACCAGAAAGTCTTATTAGTATATTTTTTTATTAAAATAATATATTACAGTTAACTTTACGTCTTTAAAAACAAAATTGTATTCATAAATCAATTTTTTTTTCCTTAACGAAATTAATTAATTATTTCTAGTTTTAACTATTAACAATTAATAAAATTGATGAGTAATTGTTCTTGATGTAAATTTTATGTATTAAAAAACAGCATTTTTTTTTTTATGGACGAATTGAAGAAAACTTAAATCGGCTGATTAAAAATATGAGCAACTAAAACATACCCCATTTTGTGTTACGTCGATCACTTCCAAATCTGGACGCTTGTCAATCATTTTAAAATTATTTCAATCCAAGTGCTACAATGATGTTTATCTGAGTAAATCACTGAAAATGATCGAATGACAAACAATGTTGTTCGTAAAACATTGTTTTTGAAAAACCAGAGGTAGTTAAATAAAATCACCAACGGCACTCGGTCACACACGCACCCGGCAAATCTGATACTAAAACACCAAACGACGGTGCAATGAATCGGCGGGCACTACAAGAGACTCAACACCGTAAGACACCTCCGTCCGCGGAAGACGCACGTTAGCGTGTGCCGAGGGCAGCCGCATGTGACGGTTTTAACATTACTAGTTGTTGTATGCGAGCGCGCGCGTGTGTGTGTGTATTTGCATGCGACCGCCTTCTCTTCCACCGCCCTCCACGTTCACCGTCACCCTTCACTCCACCTACAATACTTGTCCGTCGCCCCCACTAGCGTCTGGGTTGGGACCGCCGATTTCCGTGCGAAATGTCTTGAAGGGTTGGCCGAACCACTCGCCCGCTGCCACGTCCGACGACGCGGCAGCCCGAACGTCGGCGGCGGTCGGCTGTCCGTCTTTAAAGCCGCTCTAACAACCAGCAAACAGCGATCCCACAATAATTCAGTTGGCCCCTCATTACAGCGGACTAAGTGTAAATCGGTCGCTGTACCACTAATGTGTAACTAAAGAAAGTGAATTGAAATTAGAAATACTCACCACCATTACTTTCTTATAAGCAACGAAAGTTGTTAATGTTAAAACTGAACGGTGATTAACTTTTGATCAGTGGTGTTATTAGTCGGCTCTACAAGTACAAATACATATTCGAGTCTAATTAAGTGTTTAAAGTCCTTCGTAATTACAATTGTTTTTAGAGGCGCAATAAAAGGTACACTTTGTACCGCAGTATTCTATTGATTCAACCAATGGTCATATTACTTCTTATTGACGAGTACCGAGAATCAATAAAAGTTTAAAAGAACAAAACATTTTTCTGTAAACAGTAAATAGAATTACATGCTAAAACGTTTTCGGAGGAACACACTAATTTGTGTTTTTATACTTTTAAAACTCAAAACCATTGAAACGACTTAATCATAAATTACACCAACGTTTTTATAGGTCATTTCTTTGAGTTAACTTTAAAAGTTCACCGAGGAACAGTTTTAACATAAAGTACCACGTTTAAAATTGTTCGTAGCTCAAATGTAATCATATCGTTTTAGTCGAAATAATCGGCTAATTAACATTTGTTAAACTGTTCGTTCCATCTCAGTATTATATCGAATAGGCGTATCAATAAAAATTCTATACGACGGATTTGTGTTAAAATGATAAATAAAAAAAAATTTAAGCACTTTCATAATTCGAAATTAACTAATTAACTACTGAAGTATAAAAGACAGATTTTTGAAAATAATNTCATAATTCGAAATTAACTAATTAACTACTGAAGTATAAAAGACAGATTTTTTAAAATAACTTTATCGTAGATCGCTTGTGCAATAATTGCACCAAAATTAACGTTGTTTTTTATAGGAAAATCTGGTAAAAATACGTAGGTTATTCACATTTAACACTTAGAAATATATCTAATAAATGTTATTTCGCGTATGTGTCAAATTTAATATTTTACTCAATAGTTGGATACGTTGAATCAATGAACAAATTAATGTTATCGAGATGAATTTTTTACAGCAGGCTTTTAATACCAACAGGTATTAAAATTATTGATCAATTAGTAATTGTTATTGGTCCAGTTAAGACATAGTTGATTTTACATGAGTGAATTATAGTCTGTAAAGATCTATTCCGGATACAGTTTATTATTGTAAAATTAATCGTACCCAAGAGCTTAATCAATGAATTTTCATTACTTTTCACCTAATGTTACACATACATTTTTCTAGGTACTGTGAGTACTTCAGAGTGGAGTTTTTAGTTTTTAATAACGTTAAATATCAATACTCTCCCCTACGCAACCGCATCGTCACCACTGCTCCCCTTGCCGCACCGCTCATCATCACTCGGAGCTCTTGTGCAAAACGTGATTATAACGATTTCTTAAAATCGGAGCGGCGGGTGTACGGGGGTGCGTGTAGCCTTTAAAAAGATGATAATATTGATCTTTTTTTCACATTAAAAAAAAAGTAAAAGTACACGGGGGTGAAGTGTTTTGATGACTAGAGGGGTGGTCACGGGAGGGTGGTGTTGGTCGGGCAAATTATAAGTCGACGAGGGTGTGTGTGTGTGTGTGTATTGTCTTTCCGCTGCCCCCGCGGCACCTCTTACTCCGCTTCTCACACACAGGTCCGAGTACTGCTTTCTGTTCCCCTTTTTTTCTTTTACTCCACTCCACCGACCGCCTATTTCTTATTATATTCCTCTCATTTGTTATCGAACCCCCTTT